TCTTCCTAATTATTTCACTTGGTATGTCGCCCTTGAATTGCAGTCGTATATTAAAGAGGCTTCTTGTTTACAGATAGTGAGTAGTCCTTTTCCGCTTTCTTTGTCATGTGTTTCTTGATAAATTTGTCAGGATAGCTATTTTCGATTAACGTATCATATACAATGCTTAATTCATCTTTAATTACTTCTTCAGAGCATATAGCTCTAACTCTTTGGCTGAGGGTCTTCACTAAATTTCTTTTGTACTTGATAGGAACATGAAGCTGTGAAAATGTGTATATTGTCCTGTCCAAGTACTTTTTCTATGCAAATTTCTTTTTATGCTACCGTCTGGTTTTCTTGTAAGTAGGACATCCAGGGAGGAAGGCAATTCTGTCTTGGGATTCCTCTTCGCATGTGAATTTCATAGCCGAATGTACTTCATTGAATTCAGTAATTATTGTACTCCTATCAGAACCATTATCACAAAGAATAATGAAGGTATCATCCATATATCGGCAATATATGCATACAATGCTAATAATAATAATCACTTTATCCCAAACTTTTGGTGTTACGTAATCAAATGAAAGAGAGGATGAAAACATCCAGTTACCAGATAGGGCAAGGAAAGATTGATAACCACTTCTTTCTGAACACATAAATCGCGATTCAGGCATTTGATGGAGATTACTTCAGAAAACTTGAGGAGAATTCAACTCTTTTGTCTACTGATAATTTTAAAGGATCTTGTGACGTCCACCTCATGACTCGTGTCAATGAGATGTCTGGCAATGGCACTGTTCAAAGCATTTGTTCCCCACTGGAGACGTAGGCTTTTTGGTACATGTTCAGAAAATCGAAGGTATGTGTATGCCCTCATACTTTCTGTTCTTCTCATGTAACTGCTCCCACAGATACATGTAAATTTGTATACACAGTTGCAGTTGGGTATCTGTCGACTTTTATTATTGACCTTTGGATATTGTGTCACTAATATGAATATATATTTATGCGTTGAAGTTTCTGTAGCAATTTGGTTAAGTTTTGGGGGTGCAGCTGCTAGCACCACGCCACTAGCTAACTACAGAAGGAACAGACGAGGATGTCAAATCGAGAATCGGGAAGGCGAGAAACACATTCATCAACCTGAAACCAATCTGGAAATCTTCATCACTCAGTATCAACAATAAAATTCGGATTTCCAATACAAACGTCCAGTCAGTCAGTTCTTTTATACGGATCAGAAACTTGGCGGGTCACAAAGAATATTTCCAACAGCCTGTTGCAGACCTTTATCAACAACTGTCTTCGCTCTATATTGAAGATCAGATGGCCGGAAAGAATCACCAACAAGAAATTGTGGGAACAAACAAAACAAGAACCAATCGCCCAAGAAGTATGCAGGAGAGAATGAAGATGGATTGAACACTCGCTGAGGAGACCGCTGGGTGACATCGTGCGTCAGACCCTTGAGTGGAACCTGAAAGGGAAGCGGTGGGCGGGACGTCCAAGGGTGACATGGAGGAGATCGTGTGAAGAGGAACTGAAACAGTATGGATTAACATGGATGCATGTGAAAAGTACATCAGAAGACAGAAGCAAGTGGAGACGTGCAGTTGAAGCCCTATGTTCCACTAGGAACCCAAGGGAACAATAATAATAATATGAATATATATATATATATGCACTATACATCCAAGAAGAGGAAATATCAAAAATTACTGAGACTCTCAAGCAAAATAACTGCCCAAAGAACTTCATCAAGAAAATCAACACCGACCTTAAATATGGTCGAAAACGCATTCCGAAAACATGGATCTCAACAGTTGTCATTCCATATAGAGCAGAGACGTCAGACGATATCAGAAGAGGAGTACTCAGTAAGCACAACATCAGAGTTTTCTTCAAAACATCAGACTCACACACACACACACACACTAAAAAGCAACCTTGTCCATATAAAAGACCAAATCCCTAAAGATTCTCAATCTAATTGTTTCTATAAAATAAAATGCTTGCAATATGATGCGATATACATCGGACAAACCTCACCAGAGAGAAATCAAGTTAATGAGAAGAAATGAAGACCCTAGATTGAGTGTCTGTTCGACCACCGAGAAATCCAGATAAGAACTAGAAAAGCTTGAAAAATCATCACGCTATAGAATTCGGTCACAAAATTGATTTTGACAACATTGAAATGATGCAGAAGGATTTCAGAAATCACAAAGAACGTCTAATATCATCAGAAGCACTTCATATCAAATGGAATCCGAATTGTCTGATGAATAGGAATGATGGACTGAAACAGAATTTGACCTGGTCACAACATTCCCCTCGTCCCCCATGAAATGACAAAATCAACACGAATGTGATAAGCAATTTCGTTATGTAAACACAAGCTGCTTTTATAATTTTATACACTTATGAAATCCAACAATCTACACCTGGTTTTGTTATCTTTACCAATTGGTCAATTTAACAACGCAAAAATGACCCCATACTGAGGAACGGTGATTAAATTTGTTATATATATGCTGAGATTTTGTAAATTCTGGTTTAATAATACTACTTTGATAAAGCTATTAGAGGCATTAAATAGCAAAACGTCAGTACAAACAACGATATCGTTTTGTTTTTCATTCACACTGGAAAATACAAAAAGACGTTTTATAATAATCAATATCACACATACCCAATGTCCAAATTTTTTCATGGAGGATTTCATCATGAGCTGACATCAGTTAGAGAACCACTGGAAAACCAGCTGGAAGTACTACCAGACAACTGTTTCGTCCTAGTTTGGGACTCTTCAGCAGTACGCACCCACCACAGCCGGTTCGAACACAGGACCTTCTGGTTACAAGGCTAGCGAGCTAGCTCGTAGACCATTGAGCCACTGGGACCCGATCCAATGGCCATTGCATGAATTCTAACTTCTGCCAATTCACGACATAGCGCGACCATTTCGCAATTAATCTGATGCTCACTAGCGACTGGCCCTATTCAGGCAGTTAACCTGGGGTTCTAGTGGGAAGCCGTGACCAGTAGGATACAGCAGGTTGAAGATGAGGCAGTAACTCATCGAAGAAGACATTGCGAAATGGTCGCGCTATGTCGTGAATTGGCAGAAGTTAGAATTTGCAACCAATAGTGTTTTCTGAGCTGGTTGGTTTATTTTCGGAGCTCTTGTCGTCCTTCTGGATAACATCTTCAGCGCAATATTTAGCATAAAGTGAAATGATTTAAATTTATTCATGAGTGATATAATTGCGTCCCCGGGTAACCATCTTTACATATGTATTGACCATTTTCTATTGACTTGGATTTTAAACTTTCTGGTCACCTAATTTACTTTTTATTAGTTGGTATATTTCGTCTATATTAACGTGTCTGTTAATTGCATTTTCGTTTAAGTACCAAGTTTCTAAGAATTCCCTGGCACTTTTGGTGTTTCCTCTGTTTAAGATTTTGACATTATCCCAATCAAATTGATGACCATAATTGTCTATATGCATTGATACTAAAGAATACATATCGTGTCTTTTCACGGCTGATTTGTGTTCTTGGATTCTGATTCGAAGGGGACGCCCACTTTGGCCAATGTAATGTTTGTTAAAGTTCATACAATTTATTTTGTAAATGGTATTAATTTTATCCCCTTTTTCTGTTGGATCTTTCAGTTTGCATAATATCGAATTAAGCGATTTGACTGGCTTGTGTGCTATATCTATATCAAACGGTTTCAGTATTCTAGCTGTTATTTCAGAGATATTTCTCTTGTATGGTAGAATGAATTTTCTTGTGGTCTTTGATGATGGTTTCTTGTTGGTGTTGTGATTCCATTTTAAACACATTTTGATGAAATTGTGCGGATACCATTCTTTAACGTTGTAGGTACTTTCTTCCATTCTTTTCAACTCTGGAGTGCTACATTGTGTTTGAACTCTTTTAAACAATGTCTGCACACTGTTTCGTTTGTGAGTAATTGGATTATTGCTAGTATAGTTGAGTATTTGATCTGTGTGCGTTGATTTTCTATATACTTGTGTCTGTGTTGGTTCTCCTGATTAAGACATCTTAAAATGGGATTTTGTTATCTAATTCTTCTTCTCTTGTGAATTTGATGTCTTCAAATATGTTGTTTATTAATTTATGAGTATATTCTAAATCATTTCTCTTGATTATTACAAATGTATCATCAACGTAACGTATCCAGATTTTCGGTTTAATTATAGGTAGAGCTATTAATTCTAATCTTTGCATAACGGCTTCAGCTATTAATCATGTTATGGGCAGATCCCATTGGTGTTCTTTTTATCTGTTCATATATTCGAGTATTGAACTGGAAGTATGTTGTAAGGCATAATTTTATGAGTTCTATCCAAGTTGATAATTGCGTTAGAATTAATGCAATGACCATTGGATCGGGTCCCAGTGGCTTATGGTCTACGAGCTCGCTAGCCTTGTAACCAGAAGGTCCTGTGTTCGAACCGGCTGTGGTGGGTACGTATTGATGAGGAGTCCCAAACTAGGCTGACGAAACAGCTTTATGGCAGCACTCCCGGTTGGTTTCTCTAACTGATGTCAGCTCATGATGAAATCCTCCAACCAATCAAACAAAATCCCTACAAATGCAATACTTGCAAATTTTTTCAAACAGTTAGAAGTGAACTTGGTTTGGATATATTTATATATATGCACTATGTTTATATATTTCATTGAACAGGATAGATAATAATTATAATAATAATAATATTTCGGAATGATTACAAAATTTGTTACATATTGTTTTGATTATTGATCAATTTCACATTCAATATTTAGGTGACTTATTCGACGTAATTATGTCACCACATAATACAACACATGTACACACACACACAAATGTGTGTACAAACTATGATAGAATGGTGAAGTAGTGAATTGAATTGGCACACACACACACACACAGACAGCACACGCAGACACTACTTCATTGAGATATGATTTGTATGATTGTTTATCTCATTCTTTCCATGAAAGTATTTTTAGTTATTAATCATCTGCCAACAGTATGAACGAAATGTATTCACTTCATTCACTTCACTAGCCGATCATCCTACTCACATTGGAAATGGTATTAGTCATTCATTGGCGTTTTTACAGTTCATCTGTAGAATATAACTGTGGGCACGATGATGATGATGATGATGATGATGATGATGATGATGATGATGATGATGATGATGATGATGATGATGATGATGATGATGATGATGATGATGATGATGATTAGTGGTCCATAACTTGATCAACATTCAAAATTTTGGACTATGACCCTTCATTGTTTCAGTACATTAGCTAGATTGAAGGGCGATTTGGTCAAGCACCCACGCTATTTGGCACACTACCATTAGACTTAGATTTAAGCATGTATTTAAGTTTTGTTTATAAAACAACATCCTTCTCTAAAATATACTTTATACTTTATTGTGATTTGGTTTATTAACTGTTCTCTGAATGAATACAGTTCGGTTGGAGTATAATATCATGTCATACTGTTATGATAGTGCGTCGGTGGCATAGCGGTTAGGACGCTCGCCGACCATGCACATGGTCCGGGGTTCGATCCCCGGCCACCGACGCACTCCTTTACCTCGCTAAGCCAGAAATAATGCTGGTGAAGAGGAAAGGTTGGGCATGAGGCTATCAACCCCATCCTGTAAAATAAACACTGCTACAGAAACTTCAAGCCACTAGCTTGAAGCCCTATATTCCACTGGGGAACGTGAAGGAAAAAAAATACTGTTATGATTAGTTATAATTGATGTATTCTATCCTCATACTGCATATCTACACCAAAACTGAAGTTCTACTCATGTGATAAACTGAAGCAGAAATTACAGATTGAGGATAGATACCTAGAAGACATTAGCCGTCTATGGATGTCGTTTTTGTTCAGCGAAGAAATTTCTTTTCAACGACTTCATTTTCAAGCTGTACAATCGTATTTATATTACAGAAAAAGGTTATTAAGTGGCACTTAATAATTGCTCAGTCAATATACATACATATATGTGATAAGAATAACGATAATTAAAATGTTATAAGGCGTAGAGTTGAAGTGGATAAATTACAAAATTATTAAAGATTGTTTTATAAGTGAATTGAAATCAAAAATTTTGTTTAAATGTCAAGTGTTGTCTAAAAATTTTAAAAAATTTGGAGTACGATTACGATAAGAATGAGGATGTGAAGTCAAGTGAAGTGGAAAGAATTCAAGTGGTGAAATGAAATAAAGTAAAAACTAGAAAGAACATTACTATGACCAAGGTAAAGAAAGGGGTTTGACAAGACGTTTTTGAACACATAATTTAGGTTTCTGTTTATGTATAGCTAAAGCTTCGGCTATGCATAAGTGAAGAAAACGTAAACTTTTGGATCGATTCGATTTTGCCATGTAGATAACCTTGAAAGATGAATCACGTGGGGCTAGATGACCTGACTCTAACAGGTGATCACAGACAGACGACTTCACTGTTCTGCGTTTGCCTTTTATTAACCAGACTGGATCGTGTTCAACTACACGTTCTCGGAGATTACGCTTACAACGTCCAATATAAACAGCTCCACAAGAGCAGGTAAAAGAGTAAATACACATGGATGTGAACAAAAGCGGTAATCTGTCCTTGACGCATTGTCTAATTATATTTCTTTATTCTTATCATTTATATATGTATATTGACTGAGCAATTATTAAGTGCCACTTAATAACCTTTTTCTGTAATATAAATACGACTGTACAGCTTGAAAATGAAGTCGTTGAAAAGAAATTTCTTCGCTGAACAAAGAAAACTGTGTTTTTACTTATGAATAAATGGGTATTTTTCGTGGTCTATGGATTTGTCGAAGTTATTTAGATTCGGCGGCCTGCTTATAACTCCGGCTACTAAAAAGCTTGCATCTCTCTATTGCACATATATAATTTCTCTCGTTCACTTTGCTTTAATCGGTTAAGATATGACCTCTAATGCTTCTGATCTGCAAGTTCCTACTAAAAACTTGAGGAACGGCCTGATTGTAGGTGGCAACGTGTTCCAATCCATATGGTAACTGGGTCTCAAAATGTAATAATAATAATAATAATAATAATAATAATAATAATGGCTTTATTCCATCTTACAGTTGGCTTTCACAGCTAGATAGATATCGTGGATTTCTTGAAGGAAGGAGACAAATCAGATATATGGTATAATGGAATGGTTTGTGCTTCAGTGCTCAGAGATCATTGTGTCACAGGATATACCACAGTCAGTTAATATTTCACTTAAAAATGTTGTACGAAGGGAAAATATCATGTAGCAAACTCCTCTGAAAATTGTGTACACTTTATAAATACTGTCCAGAATAAAGATATTATTATTATTATATGAAAATGGTCAAACAATAGAGACTGATTTCATATAACCATTCAGGAGGAATTATAAGTGATATCCGTTCCACGAGAGGTGGTTCTGATTGAACTGTGGCATAATGGATAAGGATTTTAATGTCTGAGATGATGAACTCTGGTTTCGAATCTCATTGAGGGACACCATTATTCACCAGGTGGGATTCAGGTACATTCACCTACAATCATTAAAGCCTTGGCAATGCAAAGTATAGGGAAGCTTATTGTTTTCGGAAGGCTAGAAAAGATCAGCAAGAGGGATCTCCGGGAGCGAACCAACCCAGCAGGAACCAATTGTGCAACAAATAAGCAGCAAGAAATGGAGATGGATTGGCCATTGCTCGAGTGGAACCTGAATGGGAAGCGGTGAGTTGACCATCAGTGAGAGGGTGACATGGAGGAGGAGGTCATATGAAGAGGAGATAAAAGGATGTGAGCAGACGTGGAGGCAGGTGAAAACGTTGGCAGAGAACCGAAGGCAATGGAGACGTGCGCGGTTGAAGCCCTATATTCCTCTAGGAACTAAAGGAAACAATAATATAATATTTATTTATTAATTTAATTATAGCTTGAAACCACACAGTATTTTTGGTACAAGTATGGAATTTTCAGCATGTGATATCGGGAGCACAAATTTCGAAGGCCGACCACAGATATCAGGTGTGCGTCGGCAGGGGATCGAACCCCGGACCATGTGCATGGTCGGCGAGAGTCCTAACCACTGTGCCACCGACGCACAGAAGAAACTTTTCCATCTCGTTCTTCTAACTTGGGTATAATTTCAAGTTGAACTATTTTGTTATTAATACTATTTTGCGCATTTTTGGATGACATTTTAGTAACATCTTTTTGTTAACTGACTCTCTATTTACTCTTTTTACTTATTAGATAATTTATTTTGGACAATTGTCTTCGTGCTCTTTCATTAACAACTTGTTTGTCTGAACATCTCTCATATTACGTAACCCTAGTCACGATTTATCAATCTTCACCCTACCACCACCTCTAATTATAATTTGAAATATTTTCATGACCTAAATAACAACCCAAACTGATTTTTATTCTTGTTTAACAAACCTAATGTACACATTGGTACAAAAGATAATTATATATAATTGCAACTATACAGCTAAGTGAATGAATTCGCCGTCAAAATGCGACTCTTCGTTGAACTGTTTGTTCTTATAATTGAGAAGTATAATTACGTATAAAACTCATAAAAATGAAATGATTTTTTTATGCTTATAGGCTATGAGTCATCCGCATGTCACTGTAATGATAGTGAATTATTTGTTAAAAACAGAGGTTCATAGGATGGATAGAACTTGAAAAAGGTGTGCAATTATAAGATTAGTAGACAAATCGAATAAAATAAATACGTTACGTAATATTGTGTGAAATTTAATAGCAATAACCTGAAGGACAAGATCCCGCTGTTGACCAACTCTATGTGTGTTTATCAATTCACCTGCTCGTGTGGAGCTAGGTATATCGGTCGTTCGACACGATTTTTGTCCAAGAGGGTGCAAGAACAATATCCTGCATTGTTACGAAAAGGTGGAAGTGGAGCAATAAGAAGCGTGATCATTGAACATCTGGTCGATAATGATCACAATATCTCTACAGCCTCAGCCTTCATAGTCATCTGCAACGTGACGAGTAATTTGCCCAAATCGCTACGTACCCGACTCATCTGTATTGCTGAAGCCTTGGCTATCGGAACAGAAAAGCCAGATCTCTGTGTACAGAAAAAGTTCGTTCAACCCCTCCAACTTTCATGGTCTTAATCCCTCTATGCTAAAGTATGGTAATCCCCAATCATATTTTAGCTCTACCAATTTTTCATTTTTTCATTTTTGTCTATTCAGTTTGTATACTCTTCCTCTATTACACTAGTTCTTACTATTACTGTTCTCACCTTGAACTGTCTCCGGTATTATTTCACTTGTTCCACTTGTCATTCTAAACCAATTCTGTTTTACAACGTTAAATTCTATGCTATCAAATTTCACACAATATTACGTAATGTTTTTATTTTATTCGATTTGTCTACTCTACTAATCTTATGATTGCACACCCTTACGAAATTCTACACATCCTATGAATTATTCTATATATGACATTAATTGTTTTGCCACTTGACATTTAACTATGATTATAATCACAAACATTTTAGTTTTAATTGCATTTCATATTATTATTATTTAATGTATTCACGCCTATGATTCAATTCCCTCACCGGATATAACTTCTTAAAAACAGAGGTTAACAAGTAGAAAGAAGTTTAAGACCATTGTAGAAAAAGAGGCTAACCTCGTCTAGTTTTCTAGCCAGTCCCAAGCCCGGGAAAAAGAGGGAGGGTTGGGTGGGAGTGGGGCTAGTCACCCTACATCACTAAACCTATCAAACCGCTAGAGAAACTTCATCGCACAAGAAAAAATATTAAAAATTATTTTAAAAAAAATAAGATACAAACTTATTCCTCCCTGGAATCAGAGAGGTAAAATAATGCGGGATGGTGAGAGTTTGCGGGAAGCCATTTAGCCTAGTGTGTCTTCTCTTAATGAAAACAAGAGTAAGAATAGGAGCTTGGTGTGTACAGAGCTGGGAAGGTTGTCCAGATAGCCAAAGAAATGAGAATACATGGTAAAGAAGTGCTCGAAATCTGCGAGAGCAGATGGGTTAGATGTGGACTAGCAAAATTGTCAACTGGAGAGTCAGCAACCTACTCCGGTCATTGGGTTGTGATTCCCAGACAATATTCATCCATAATCACACGAAAGATGTAAGCTTAAGAATGGTAATATATTTCCAAGCATACAAGTTTACAATTCAATACTGAATAC